GCGCACACAGAATGCCAGCCCTCTTTCCTGCAATTTGCATTCCATTAGGGGAGTCAAGTCAAGGTAAGGAAACTATGAAAACTGCCTTAAGAAAGAGGAATGTTTTGTGAAAACTCAGAGTGCGGAGGAGAGAGGAAAAGTTGTAGATGAAGTGGCCCTTGACTGGGACCTGGAGGGACCGCAGAACTCTGTGACCTCAGAACAGAGGGGCCATGACCCCAGACAGGGCGGGGAACCGGGTGCAGCACACATGTGGGGAACAGTGTAAGTCGGTCGGCACGGGAGAGAGGGAAGCAGAACTGGGACATCACTCTGGGCCTGAGCACGGCATGTTCTCCACATGCTATCTGCTTTGGTCAATAAAGGAAACCAGGGAAGATTTTATTCAAAAAAAGAATTACTGGGCTGATATAGGTTCCGCACACCGTGTCCCAGCCACCGGACTCAGTACATCCTACCTGTGTGTCTCATCTCAGAAACCTGCCTGGCACGGGCTAGTGTTATTTCCAGTTTTTAGGTGCGAAAATCAAGACATAAAAAGACTGCTTAGATGAAAACAGAGACAGAGACAAACTATGAGTGACTCTTAATCATAGGAAACAAACTGAGGGTTGCTGGAGGGGAAGGGAAGGGGGAATGGGGTGGCTGGGGGACAGACATGATGGAGGGCACGTGATGGAAGGAGCACTGGGTGTTGTACACAGCTGATGAGTCGCTGACCTCTACATCTGAAACCAATTAAAAAAAAAAAAAGACCTAGAAAGACCACGTCACAGGCTGTATAGTTGGGGCACAGTCTGAACTCCCGTCTGTGGTTTAGGAAGCTCTGTTCCAGGTAAGAAGTTAAACAGTGAGGAGTGAGTCCGTCTCCAGAAGGAAATGACGCCACCTCCAGGTGGAGCTATCCTGGCGGCCCGTGGAGCCCGGAAGATGCTGGGGCCTGTGTTCCGGGAGGAACGGTGGTGAGGCTGCAGTCTGAGCTTGCAGGAGGAGAGAGCCCTGCCCTGGGTAGTAAGCGGCCAGAGGTGAGAGACGAGGGCTCCGCGCAGGGCCTGAGAGAACGGAGAGATTCCGGAGGGGAGAAGGGAGAGACCGCGCCGAGAAGAGGACGTGATCAAAAAGTACAGGGAGAAAAAGCAAAGCGCGGAGACTCCTGAGCCAAGGAGAGGAGGGTCTGTCCAAGACAATGCAGACAGGGTCGGGGCACCGTGGACCGAGGAAGCCATTTGACCCCACGGTGGACGTTTGTGGTCACCGCGGAGAGCCCGGGGCCAGGGATCAAAGTCAAGGTCAAGCTTCAACAATAAGGTGGACCGTGAAGAGCAGAGAGATGATTGGGGAGCTGTGGTCATCGATCTGGTCCACAGAGCAGACAGGTTCCCAGCGTGAGGGAAGACATTTACACGCAAGGAGCTGCTGACAGCAAAGCAAGAAGGGCGGCCGCCACAGGGGAGGGCATCAGCCTACACACAGACGGGCTGCGCCACCTCCCTGCCTTTTCCACACTGACCTCCCGTTAGACTGAAGAGACGTTTTCCAGTGTCAGGCACACAGGGACATCAGGGTTCAGGAAGATCCTCTCAGACGCGAGGGTCTGGGTGGTGGCATGGAGACGCCACTATGGCATGACAGAGCCCGCGGAACCAGCCTCGCGTCCCGTGACGCCTTCTCTGGTAGGGGGACAAAGCCCCTTACCCAGAGCCTGTGTGTGGCACCTGGCGACAGGGCACCATGAAGGCTGTGGACTGGAGGTACACACACACGCGACCGTGTGGGACGATGTCAGGCATCTCCTCCTGGAAGGTAGCCATGACGACGGGAGGCACGACAGGTGCACTCCGATGCGTGCACACACGCGCGCGCACACACACACGCTGGTTGGCCATGCTTGGCCATTCGTAAGGAGAACATACATAACATACGAACATACCATTCGTAAGGAGAACATACGGCATGGGGCAAAGCCGTCCTTTACGTTACTCCCCAAGCAAAACAGCTTTAAATATTTAGAGGTTCTGCTGAAGGTCATTTCAAGACTTTTAAGACCAAAAAACTAGCAGGAAAAAAAAAATCTGACAATCCCGTTGAATTATCAAATGAAAAGGTTGAATTTCCAAGTGTAGGAAAACGTGAGGTGAGATGCCTCTTCCAGGACTGAACTTAATATGGAAGAACACAAGCACGTCTGAGTCCCTCCCCGGAGCAGCAGGCGTGAGGTGACCAAAAGGACCTTGGAAACACGTCGCCTGTTTGGAGATAGTCAGGAGCCCGTGGAGGTCGCCGCACTCTCCAGTCTGAGTTCCCTTGAGTCCGCCGTCCTCCCGGGGAGCACGGGACAGAGGAGTGATTTCCTCCAAACTGCAGGCCAAAGGGGGCCAGAGGGACGGACAGAGCCCCCGGGGAAGGAGCTTCTGAGGCTGAGGAGCAGGCGACACCATTCGAACTGTCCTGAGCTTCTCGGGAGCTGCGGGAGGCTGAGGCGGCGCCAGGACCCCTGCAGGACTTGACCCCCAGCTTTCGATCGAGACGGTTCTGTCTTCCTTCTGCTCAGGCCGCAGCACGTGCCGGCAGTAATCGCGGAGTCTCTGAGCACCTCCCTGGGAAGTTCAAGACTCAGGACCCCGTGAGTCTTTGAGGCCGGCTGCCTACCCAGAGCTTAACTTAAAAATTCCTTTGTCCTTTGGGGAGGAAACCGCACAAACAGCTGTTTTGGGGACCAGTCTGCACCCGAGGCCGCATTCCTGAAGCTGCGAGGAAATGCATACGGCTCTCAGGCCAGAGCTGTGCCCCCAGACCCGGAGCAGAAGGCGGGAGCCAAGCTCCTCGCGCTCTCCTGGGCCGTGACACCCCGTCCCTGCAGAGCTGTGACCCCCGGCCCGTGGGCGACCTCTCTCTGTTCGCATCTCTTCGTCTGGGAAGTCGGGCTGCTGGGCCGGATGCTGGGTTCCCGGGTTTCACTGCACGGACATCGGGGGCCTCGTTGGAGGACAGGGGACGGGGGACCCCGTGGGCTGGAGGGAGGCAGGGCGCTCAGGCCCCATTTCCCACTTTCCAGAGGGCACTTCTGCTCTCATCAGCTTACGGGTTGGCTTTCCAAAAGGGATTTCGTTTGTGGACAAACAAAGTGTTTGTTTGAAGGACACGGGGGTCCGCAAGCGTTGGAGGACGCACCGACCACAGTCTGTGCAGAGCCCTACCCCGTGGGACATCGGGAGAGCCTCTCCCCAGGGTTCCCTTGTAATTCCGGGCCCAGCCCCAGACGCTCAAGTGCCCTTGAGCTACCGCGGGCACCTGGCTTCCCACCACCCCCTGGAGCAGGGTGCAGCCTCCTCGCACCGGCCAGACTCCCCAAGAGTCGGGGCGTGTCTGCTACCCCTTGATTTTAACTGCGAGCTCTAGAGTGAAGGGGCTCTGGCAGGATTTCCGTGGCCTGCACTGACGTCAGCTCAGTCGCTGGTACCCTGAGGTCCCCGCTCCACCGTACCACTTGCTCCCACGGATGCCGGGGGCAAGGAGAGGACGCTAGCCTCTTGAGAATTTCTTCCAATTCCTCTTACTGTCTCAAACTCATGAGTTGCTCCACTTCGATGAGGAAGTTGCGGTCAGATAATTAGGGAGGAAATGAGCCCTTCCACACCAACCCAAAATACACTGAAGCAATATTTATGGACAAGACGTTGTGCTTTGTGTGGCAAGGAGAATGGAAGTCGGAAGCTGGTGAGGTGAGAAAGCCCGCTTGACAGGTGGGAAGGCAGGGGACCCGTCAGCTGCTGGCGGGGGAGGCAAGTGGTACGGACTTTACGTCTCATTCAACACTTTCTAGTCAGGAGGGTGGGGCATGAGTAGAGGAAGCCACAGATTTCAATCATCTTTTCTCACCACTGGTAAAAAGGTCACCCCCCCCCAAAACACTCTAATATGAAACAGGGATACATAAAGACACAGTTTTCATTTCATAGCCATGAATTTATTTTAACATGCATAGAAAATAATAAGCCATTAAACCCTGATTTTACAGATAGGAGAGCCTCTAACGAGGCAAAACTTGGGGCAGCCAGGTGGCTCCATCATTAAGCGTCTGCCTTCGGCTCCGGTCATGATCCTGGGGTCCTGGGATCAAGCCCTGACTAGGGCTCCCTGCTCAGTGGGGAGCCTGCTTCTCCCTCTCCCTCTGTTGCTCTCCCTGCTTCTGCTCTCTCTCTGTCAGATAAATAAATAAAATCTTTAAGAAAAATAAGACAGCAGACTCCCAATAAGACAATAAGACTTGGTGTCCCACCAGCCCCAGCCTCCCCTGGTACGTTCCGACGGGTTTCAGAGAAGGATCCTGTGTGTCCCATGATGCCAGTGTGCAGGGTCTACACAGGGTGTGAATTACCACATGCCCCACCTGTGGGCAGGGGTTTCTCAGCCAAGGTTCTCACCCCCGGGCCTGAATAAAGGTAGAGAGCAAATGTGGGACCCTGGAGAAGGTGTTCCAGGAGACTTAGCAGAGGAGGCCGGGATAACCACCCCATGGCAAGCACCTGCAGGGCTGCGGACTTGGGCAGTGCAGGCCCTGAACAACCACACAGCACAGCCACAAGTCAACCCCTGTGCCCTCTGCCTGGGGATCAGGAGCTGGGTGCCACGCGGCGCACCTCAAGGCCAGCAGGATCAAGGAGCAAGGCCTCCGTTTCCAAGTGCTCATGGAGCCTTCTACACGCTGCTCAAACAGGGTAGAAAGGGACTGAAGAAAACAACTGTCTTGTGCCTCCTTTCCACACGTCCTGTTTGGTACGAATCCTAAGATTGCAACACCAAGAGAATCTAAATAATCTGCAGGCGTCACCGTTTCTGATAATCGCAGGAGCTATTCATCGCTAATCAAAGAGGATATTATGGAGCGTGAGTCAGCCTCGGGCTTTCTGGAAGCACCGAACCATATATAAAGACGGAGCTTCCTCGCCGAGGTGCTGCAACGGCAGGTGGGGCGCCTCACAGGCCTTCAGCAGGGCAGGAGCACGAGAGCCAGCATGCCCAGCCTCCCTCTGCTGCTGCTGCTGCTCTGGGGCGTGGGGTCCCACGGCTTCCCCGCCGCGACCTCGGGAGCGCAAGAGCAGGATGCGGAGTTGGTTCAGGTAAAAGCAGGATTTCACACGGCACAAAGGCAGGAGCCTCTATTTGCACGTCTGCTCAGCAGTACGGAGTAGCAGTCGTAGTGTAAAGGATTTTACGGAAGGGTGGATTTCTTCCAAAGAGAAATCTTTGGTAGAAGGGGCTCTTTCCCCAAAACTCTGTCCGGCCATGCACAGGGTCTCCTCTTCCCTTCCCAGCTGAGGTGAGTGGGAGCGAGGGGACGTACGCAGACGTCCCCATGAATTGTCGTTCGGACTGCGTGCTCGCTAGTGCAGGGAGAGTTCTACCAGGGACTGGTCTCCACCCGTCAGGATTTCCACCGTGAAATCGAAACACCATCTTTAGAAGTGGTTCTCCGCTGTAGCTAGAGCTCCTCACTGCCAATCTTGAGAAACGAGAAAGAGTTCCCATCCAGCGTTTCAATAATTGTGTCTTTCATCAGAAATACCTGGAAAACTACTACAACCTGAAGAGTGACGGGAAGCAAATCCCAAGGCAGAGGAACAGCAGTCTGGTGGCTGAGAAGCTAAAGCAGATGCAGACGTTCTTCGGACTGAAGGTGACGGGGAAGGCGGACGCCGACACCCTGACTCTGATGAGGCAGCCCCGATGTGGGGTGCCCGACGTGGCTCCGTACACCCTCGGGGAGAAGACCCTCCGCTGGGAGCACACCCACCTGACCTACAGGTAAGCAGACCGGGCACCAGAGCGAGGGCGCCGTCTCCCAGCAGAGCCGTGAGCCATGAGTCCTTACGTCTCTGTTTTATTCCGTTCTAAGGCTTGAAAATTACACACCAGATTTGCCAAGAGCAGACGTGGACAGCGCCATTGACAGAGCCTTTCAGCTCTGGAGTAATGTCTCACCCCTGACCTTCACCAGGGTCTCTGAGGGCCAAGCGGACATAATGATATCCTTTGTCAGGGGAGGTAAGCTCTTCTGGTCCCACAGCAGCACTCTCACCCTAAGTCCCACGTGCCCCAAACCCCTTCATCTTTGCAGCTGGAGGAGCTGGTTCAGAAGTGGTGTTGACTTTGTAGGCTTAAGGAGGGAACCTAGATCCCATCTGATGGAAGTCTGTTGTCCTCTCAGCAAGCCAGTGCTTTCTCTCCTGGGTTAGCCTAAATGGGAACCAAGAGGGACATTTCTCGAATTCTGTTTCTGGCAGATCACTATGACAATTCTCCCTTCGACGGACCCGACGGAATCCTCGCTCACGCTTTTCCACCAGGCCCGAATCTTGGAGGAGATGCTCACTTTGATGAAGATGAAAGCTGGACCAAGGATTATAGAAGTGAGTCAACTCATCTGGCCTCTCCCAATCTCCCCGTCCCTTCTTGCTCCACAGGAATCCTGTTTGGCTTAACGGAAAGAACCATTTTGTAGAAGGAGGCATTTTCTACTGCCGCTTACGAAACGAATGATAAATTTAGACAACTGGAAGAGAAGGCTATTTCTGTTAGTAATAACATCTTGTTGGCAGCAAACAGCCCGCTCCAAAATTTCTGTTAAGACAGTATTGGAAATCTTAACGTTTTTCTTGTGGGCATCTACAATAGAATTATTTTTTTATTAGAAGGACGCACCATAATTTAACAATGTTAGTAAGAGTATGTGAAAATTAAGGGAGGAGAGATTGTATTTTCCAAAACTTCCAGCATAGGCATGTATGAGTTTGTACATAGGAAGAAAAAATCATTACCAGAACTCCACTGCGTCTCCGTGAACTAGTACTCAGGAACTCATACAAGACCGGTCTGCACACGACACAGAATCGGCCGAGCTTACTTTCTCATTGTATCAGTGCAAACACAGAGCTTGTGTTTTAGCCTGTGTCTTCCCTGTTAATAACAGCCTCCCGTCCTCCCACCTTTGGGAAAAGGCTTTCTAGCTCTTTCATGCCAGGTCTCTCAATGGAGAACACTGAAAACATTCATTAATGGCTTTATTGGACCTTTTAGATTACAACCTCTATCGTGTGGCTGCTCATGAGTTGGGTCATTCCCTTGGACTTTCTCATTCTACTGATATTGGGGCTCTGATGTACCCCAACTACATGTACGAAGGTCATGTCCAGCTGTCTCAGGATGACATCAATGCCATCCAGGCCATATATGGTGAGTAGACAGAAAACTAGGGACGAGGGGCCATTAGAACAGCCATTAGCTGCCTCCTTTAAGAAGCTGTGCAAGACCAGGCAGAACTAACCCCAGACCCCTTTTTATTTTAGGACCTTCTCCCAATCCCGTCCAGCCAACAGGCCCCCAGACACCACAAGTGTGTGACAGTAACCTAGTCTTCGATGCTATCTCTACCGTTCGGGGAGAACTGATGTTCTTTAAAGACAGGTAGGACATCAGTCCCTCCCTGTGCCTTGTGCTTGTAAGAACACGGCTCTCACAGCCATGGGTGCACACACAGTGTTTATTCTGCACTTTCTTGCATGTACAGTTAGAATTACAAGGAACTGTAAGCAGTTACACACACCCGCAAGGTGCAATAAGCTTGTAACAGCCTTTCCCCGCATGTACTCTGTTGTTCGGTTCTCAGACAAAAATACCATCGAAGTAGAAAATTCAGTGGATAGAATCCCATTTTACAGATCAGTAAAGTAAAGCAGGGAGAAGGAAAGAGAGACTTTCAGGGCACAGAGTTCTCTAGTGACGGAGCAGTAGCTGTTCTGACTCCCACTCCCGAGCTCTCCTCGTCAATGCCGCTCTTCACAATGAACCGTGAATGAAGGAGGGTCCTTCTCAGGAGAAACAGCCCGTGATGCTGAGCAGGGCTGTGCAGCCGCTCTGTCCCACTGAAGATGCCCCCAGCCCAAGCCCGTGACTGCAGAGACCTAGAGAAGGGGAGGAGCCACCGTGGGGAAAACCTCCAGGAGTTCACGAGGACCCTCCTGTGAGCACATACGGGTGGTCCCTGAAGGCTTCTCTCCCCACAGGAGGGTTCTGGCGCCCCCTCCGCAGCATGTGGGCTCAAAGATGCCAGGGTCGCCTCTCATGCAAGGCCCAGGCCTGCTGTCTGTACCACCCTGATTCCTAAAGGACCGTGCACAGGAATAGTAGGTCCTTTTCTGGAAGATGCTGTCCCCGGGATGGGGACGGAGGCCGGGCCGGCGCGTCAGCACAGAGAAAGGAGTGGGTTCGGCTGGGCTCAACGTCTTGGCTGCTATTCCTGGAGTCTGGTCTGCACAGTTTTGTCACTCTGTGGTCAGATCCATGTGAGAATAGAAGGCATTGGTTCCAGATGCTTGCCATCCTCTCCCCTACGAAGGATAAGGCTGGGTGCAAACCCTAGCAGCTGTGGCTCAGAGCTGGGCAGGTGCTACGGAAAGAGTGGGTTTGAAAGGAAAGCTCTTGGTAGGGCAGGACATGCCTCTCAAAGCAAGGACTCGAGAGATTTCTCCAAGGAACAGACACAGGTCTAGGATTCTCAGGAACTGAAAGGACACTGAGCTCACTTAGTGTGACCAAGTCATGAAGCCATGGGAGGCTAGAGACAGGAACAGCCTTGCTCAGGGTCTCCCAGCAGCCGAGGTGGGATTGGAGCTGCCCAGCAGGTTCCGACGGCACGGGCCTCAGTGTCCCCTGTAGACTGTAGATCCAACCAGAGGAGGAGGAACGGAGTGGCTGCCAACTCTGGGTCTAAAATTAACCTTTGCCTCTCTCTTATCACATATGTGGCCGTAAACAGCTCCCTCCCCCTCGCCGCCCTTGATCTCTCATTGGTGAGGTGAGAGTGCCAGGCTCTCAGGGAGGGGGGTGGTTTTTAAGGCGCAGGGGAAAGGCCCTGCTGCCCCATCTGCACGGGGTGTTGGCAACCAGCGGTGGGCTGCGGCACGGGTGTCTGGCCACTGGCTCCAGATGGCACCGCCAAAGCCAGTGGTTCTACTGTGGAATTCACGCGCCGCCCATCCCTTTGTAACAATTTTGCTACATGTGACTGTTTATGTTCTCGAGGTTGGCTGGGCTGTCGTGCTCGTTAAAGGTCAGCCCACCCTTGCATCCAGGAGATCAAAACCTTTGCCGTTTTTTTTCTACATCAGGTTCTACATGCGCCAAAATCCCTTCTACCCAGAAGTTGAGCTGAATTTCATTTCTACTTTCTGGCCGGAGCTGCCGAGTGGTCTTCAGGCTGCTTATGAATTCCCTGAGAGAGATGAAATCCGCTTTTTCAAAGGTAACGCTTCCCCCGGGTGTCCCGCTTCTGTGCGTTCCCCTGCTTTGGGGCTGAGATATGAGTGAGCTCCGGCTGCTTTCTCTCGGTGGCCTTTGGAAAATCTGATGCTTTCACTCACCACCCCGATGGGAGTCCAGCCCCTTACCTAAGCATTGCCTCGTGCATTTCTGAGTCATTTTAGATAGAAAGTGTATCTGTGGGTGCTCTGCGGGGCCACAAACCTGGCTTAGGAAAGCGTTTTCTCTGCAAACTACTTACATACCCACCCTGGGGCCCACAGAATAGAGCAGATGACACAGAAGCACTGGAGTGTCCAGATTTCTTGGAGTCTATTTTCATACCAATGGGTCTCCTGAGGGAGGAAGAGGCCGCCCTGGGAGCTGGCTGTCAAAGTAGGGTCCTCAGACCAGCAGCGTTGACACCCCGGGGGGTCTGTTAGAGACCCAGACTCTCACTTAGCACAGTGTGCTCCAGGGCCATCCACGAGATCGGCTCCCACTCCAGACCTTCTGGAATTCTAGCAAGAATTCCCAGGCAATTTGTACGCTAAAATACGACGAGCCGTACCGTGAATCAAGTGGGACAGACTTTTCTTATTCTGTCAGAATGAAACATAATCCAATGATGAGCCCATCATTGGCTTGGAAGACACTGTGCCAAACGCCGGTGCTTCTGCAAACAGATGTCTGGTCTCGTCCACACGAGCATTCGAGTGCTTGACAGCGCCGAAGGGCTGAATGCGGTTTGGACGGGCAGAAAACGTTGACACAGGCTTCCTGGCCCTTCTATCACAAAGTTAAACAGGATTTTAGACGCACAAAATTTCAAGCCGCTTTCTCATAAGGGGCAAATGAGTGTATTTGTGCCGTGAGAATCATCCTGGCTTCAAGATCTGAGACCTGTTTTATGGGATGTGGGTTACGGAGTATGAACACACAGATCTGGAACCAGCAACCACTGGCTATTTGGCGCTGTGTTCTAGTGAGACGCGATGGTTCTTATTTACAGAGGTTGCAAGTCGTTACGGCCTGTGAGTCATTACAACCCCCTGGCCTTTGGGAAACCACTGGTGTGACTGTGCCCAGCCCCAGGCTGCTAGAGCAGGGAGCCCTGTATCGCCACCGTACGCAGCATGGGCAAGTCTCTGGTCAAGGCTGCAACTGGCTTTGGGAAGACACCCTCAGCCCCACAAGCCAGTTGCCCTCCAAGCTCACTGCAGATTCAAATGATGTAGGAAACTTTAAAGTGTATATACATTTAAGTGATCTGGGATACAATACTGGCATCGGTATCTTTAAGAATCTCCCTAGACAGTTCTCATGTGGGGCCAGGACGCTGGAGTCGGCTCGCTGTCTTCTGGTGTCCAGGACAAGTGTTTCCATCCTTTTTTTTTTTTTTTTTTTTTGATTGGCAGGTAATCAGTACTGGGCCGTTCAGGGACAGGAAATGCTGTACGGATACCCCAAGGACATCTACCGATCCTTTGGCTTCCCTCAAACCGTGAAGAACATCGATGCTGCTGTTTCTGATGAAGAAACTGGGAAAACCTACTTCTTTGTTGCTAACAAATACTGGAGGTAAAGACTGAGCATAGAATATGTTCGCACAGCACCGCTTTCTAGCTAGAGAGAAACTTCTAGATCGAACCATAGCCAAATGAGTCTCCGACGGCCTTGGCTGGCTGCCGTCTCTGTGAGTGGCTGCCAGCAGTCTAGCCACCAGGTCTGTCCTGGCGACCATCACGCAGCCCCCGCAGTGGGGATGCAGTGAACACGCTGGGCTGAATTTGGGAAAGGACAGCTGAGGAGGGGGCGTCTACCTTCACGGAGCCCCTTCTGCCAGTAGGAATGTATCTTTCATTGCAGTTTACATTAGCAGGACAATGGGCGGCGCCTCCTGGAGAATTAGAATTAGTTGTTGGCATTGACACGGACCTTAAAGATCTCCTCTTCACCCAGCGTTCTACCTCCCCTTCCCCCATACTAGACAAGATCTATGGGGTTGAAAGTTCCTATAAGAGTCCCGCTACCAAAGTCCCCGTAATGCCTTTGAGAAGTCTACACATTTAGCACGTTCTGACACTTTCAATCACTGTTTTGACCAGGTATGACGAGTATAAGCGTTCCATGGACGCAGGTTACCCCAGAACGATCGCAGCTGACTTTCCTGGCATTGGCCATAAAGTTGATGCTGCTTTCCAGAAATACGGTAAGTGAATGTGTATATTTATTTCCTCCATCTCGCTGTCACAGAATAGTGTCAACGCTCTTATTTGGAACAGTGAGTGCCCAAAATATTTGTTCTCACAAATGGCAGGATTTTTCCAGAATTCAGGTTACACCTGAAATCATGTGTGTACAGTAGTGAGTCTCGTCTGCTTGTTTCTAGGGTTCCTCTACATCGTGCACGGGACGACGCAGTACCAATTCGATCTTCGGACCCAGAGGATTCTGAGTATCGATAGAGTTAATAGTTGGTTCAACTGCTAATGGAGATGACCGACTGTCGCCCCAGAGAAATACACGTCAAGAGCCCAAGGAGACGTCTTCCTGAAGAGCCATTTGGTTACCTAAAATCAGAGCTATTAAGTGTTTCTGTCCCGATACCTCCTTCTGCACTTACTCTTTACGCCTGGGAGTGCAACATGACACGCACTCCTGTAATTCAGCCCCACAGCTGAGCTAAGAAAGGTCGGGCTTAACGGCTCGTGGATTCAAATGGGCCAGTTTTGCAAAGAAAAAAAAGCTTTTCCAAAGTATAGGATCCTGACATTGACCCTGGAGTTCAGTTCTTCAAGACAGCAGACCAGAGCAGAAACAGTTCCCAAGCATAGAAGCAGCCACTAGACCGTCCTCATATGCAAGGAACAGCTTTGATTACAGAAAATAAAGCGCTTGTGTTTCAAATAAAGCCTTCCATGTCATTACTGTTTAATATACTTTCTAGTACATTTATTACACGATTATTTCCTGATGATAAAGACATCTTCCGGAGATTAGCTTTCAAATTTGAAGTGGGAATAGACAAATACGTAGAATATTCACATGGGAAGCGAGGATACGCAAAAAGGTGGACTATTCCCCCATTTCCATGGAATTTACATCCTCTAGAAGAGGTTAAAACCTACTTCCCGGGTCCTGTGTAAAGATTTGAAAGTTGGCTGTTGGTAGAGACTTCTTCTGAGCACGTCGGGAGCTCTGCTGTCCAGGGATCCCACTCCCTGCCATTGTGGAGGAGAGGGGGCTGGGACATGGTGGGGGACCTGTATCGCCCCAGATGGAAACACGCGACCACTGGTGCAAATTTCTCTGGCGGCCCCACCTTGCCATGGGGATCATGGAAGACCAGAGGGAGCTTCCAAGAGACGGAAGAAACTAGAAATCTCGGGCCACCACTCAAGACAATTACTCTGAACTTCAGTAGAGTTTGCTTAAGAAGTAAACTGTGGTGGTTCTAGACCACTAAGAATCTGGATTTTGTTAAGGCCACACAAGCTAGTTTTTCTTTATGGAGGTTTTCATGCCTCGTCTGGGGGAGTATTAATGTCAGCGGGGTCCCCAGTAGTAGCTCAGCCCATGGGGTGGGGGTTGGGGGGTGTTCATGGTGTGGGTGGAATTTCCTAATACGAATATTTTAAGGTACTCACGGTTCTGAGGCAAGCAGCTCTTGACTCAAGAATTTGGACAGAAGTGTCACCTGTCCTTTGGCCAAGTCTCCTCTCTTCTAATGAACATTTTGATATTGAAGTGTACATCACATAAGTACAGAGAAATGTGCAGACATCAATCACTGAGTTCCCATCACTGAGTTATGACAATGTGAACAACCCATGTAGCTCTCACCCAGGATGAAGGAATGGAGCGTCACCTTGAGATCCTGCCCACCGCTCAACACTGTCCACTTAGCCCATGAGACTCAGATCCTGAAACAGAATACTTTGGTGGGGCCACTGGGGATGGGGGGTTCTCAGGAGAAGATTGGCAAAACATTCTAGAGCATTCTGCAGCTACCGAATGTGGTCTCAGATGGCTCCGATCTCATGAGCAAGGGCTCTGGAGCGAAGCCTGCATCATGGTCGGTCCCACCATGAGGCATGGCGCCAGGCGTCTGTACCCCAGGGTCGATCCGTCCTCAGCTGAGGTCTGGTCTGGGGGAGGGGCAGAGCTCCCAGGCAATATGGCTCCCACTGGACAAAGAAACGGGACAAGTGGGAACAGCAAGCCGCTGCCACAAGCTCCCAGAGTAGCAGGAGAGTGCGTGTGCTGGTGCTAATGGGGGCTGGAGACACAGCCAGCCACGTTCTCTACCCGTTCTCTGTTCCCCAGAGGCAACCAGCACGCTGACCTTGAGCTTCTGGGATGAAACCCGCCTATTCTGGAACTGAACGAGATCAGGTTTATGTCCTCCTGCGTCTACCTTGCTGCGTCCGGCACCACGTTTCTGCACTTCGTTCACGGGAGATGCACTTTGACTTCTCACATTTGGGGCTTTTCGTAAGTTATGCTGCACTTTCGCAGGCATGTCTGCTGGTTTTGTACCTAACAGTGCCCCTGCCGAGCCGTAGACGTCCGTGAACATGATTTCTGCAGATCTGCCCCCGGCCTCCGGGCCTCCCAGCCACAGCAGCAGGGACCGGCTCTCTCCAGCTTTGATGCCAGCTTCTCGCCTTCCGGCTGCGCTCACTGGGCCCATGCTTCCCGCTCCAGGGCCCATGTGCCTCTTCTGCTGGTGCTGGTCCAGCTCTGCCGTCGACCTCACTCAGAACTCACGCAGAGGCAGCCTGCGAGGGAGAAGCCCGGCCGCGGGTGGAGCCGTCGTCTCACCAACGTGAGAGACACAGAGGAGTAAATGCGTCGCCCTCTCTTGCCCCAGAGCGATGTTGCTATGGCGCAGTTCAAGTGTGTCCTCAGCTGGTCCCATTCTAAGCAAGGCGTTTCTCGTCTCTGCCTGGCCGGCAATCCAGCTTTGCGTTGTCTCCCCTCCTTTCCCTGTTTTGCTCTCCCCAACCCTCCGTCCAGCCCTCTCTCTGGCTCTCACGCCTCAGGCTCTGCTTTCTAAAAATGCCGGGTTAAGCTTGCTTCTGCTGGGAGTGGGGTAGACAGGACTCTTGGTATCACTGTGTCATCACAGCTACCAAGACTTTTCTCTGCTGTTGATCACGAAGAAGTAGAGATGGCTGAGGAGCGAAGGGACCATCAGCTGGCCGTGACACGTAGGTGGCTCAAGAGGGTTGGGGCTGTGGGAAGTGGGGAGTGGGCTTGTCAAGCGCACTGGGACTTTGGTGGAAAGAAAGTCAGTTGCTCAAGGCAGCCGAGCATCCACCGAAGGCACACTATGAAAGTCAAAAGACAAGAGTGACATTACAGAGCTCCTCACCTGAAACTCCTTTCACACTGTGTGTCAACTAACTAGAATTTAAATAAAAATCTTTAATAAAAACTTTTAAAAAAAAGAAAGAAGTCTTATGAAAGTTAGAGATAAGTAAGGCTCTGACTGCAGCTCATGCCGGGTCCGGTGGGCCCATGGACCATCCTGCGTCCATTTCTCCGGTCAGACTCTCCCCCGGGCTGGCTGACTGCTGGAGTTAGAAGCTTAGAGCAGGAAGGATCAACTGGAAGTTTCTGGAAAAGCTCCTCCCTACATTCTCTGTGAAGACAGTCAATTAGAAGCAACAAACCCATACCACATCCGAAGGACTACAAAGAACCGTCAGACCCTCGAAGACTTAAAAGCCAAAAAGGATGGGGCTCCCTTTCATGACCCCATTCAGCTTAGCACCAGCCCGTGCGGAAACCAAGGGAACCGCGGCGGGTGATGGCGGACTTCTGTCACCTCACGAGGCGTAGTACGCATCCCGGCGACGGGGTCCGACACGGTTGCTCCCCTGCAGCAAAACAACCAGCCCAGAACCTCGGCGTGCGGTGACGCAGGAGGAACGGTTGAGGACGTCGCTAACTTTCTACGCCCAGACGCTCTGAAAAATGGAGTGTTCGCTGGTTTGTTCTTTGTTCTGGTTTTAAGCAAAGACCTAGCTTTTCTAGCCGGAGGCTTTGGGAAGAATTTAGCCTCCAACACTACAACAAACGGAAATAGACCTTTTTTCCTGGACCCAGTCCATGTCCTGAAGAGGCGCCGTGCTGGCCAGCAAACCCATGAGAGTGCGAGATCTGCTCCGCCGCACAGGTCTCCGAGGTCTCACGCAAGCGACCCGGGCTTTTCCGAATCCTCACTTCCTGTCTGTGATAGAGGAAAACTAATGGGATCTCCGAGGGTCTTCCTGAAGACGGACCAGCTACATCACCCAGCACTGAACCTGTCGCATGGAAAATACTGAAGAAATGACGGTTGCCTTTTCTTTCCTACATTCTCCTAAACCCAGAATTTTCGTCTTTGTTACTCTCCTTTCTCACAGGTTTATTTCTACCAAAAAAAAAAAAAAGCCCACCATACTGGTGAACCAACCCAAAAAATGAACCTGAATCCAAACTGAAAATACAGGAACGTTATTCTGAGTATCCAATTATCATTAATGATAACGGCTATTGTAGGTCAGCATAGATTATCACACTTTCCAATATTTATGGGAAGCCCCAAAGCCACGACCCTGAGGTAGCTCTAACCTCTCCTTCGACACTTTGTCTCCTTAGTGGATAGTCGTTTTCATGGCAAAAATTTGTGACCAAAAATCTTCCCCTACGTTACCAGGAGGGAAGTAAAATGGGTAAAAATTCAGCAGTCGGTTATCTTCCCGTCCAGCAGCAGTCGAAGTGGTGATGAAAGCGTGGGAAAGGAAGTCTGAGACTTTGCGCAAGAGCCCAGACCACGAGCCATATCAGGATTTCCAAGGAAAGAAGTCGTGCATTAACCATCAGGGTGTCATGACCCGGCCGGCCCAGGATCTCGGCTACAATCTGAGAATCAGAGGTCGTCGGATGCCGAAAAGTGATAGGTAACCAGTTTTCCTGGAATTGAGCCGTCTCTAGGCGGAGAGCCCTGTGTGTTTTTCGGGCTTGGTTACAGGACGCCCTGAACCAGAGACCGTGTCTCATCTGAAGGTCACCTGTGAGGGCAGGTGCAGCACGGCTGGCAACACGGACTTCATTGCCGGCCTCCCGGCGTGTTCTCCCCTGCGCTGCCTTCTGATAACTAACAAAGAGCCCCGTGGCTCACAGGTGACCCCCCCTCGATAACTACCAGCGACCTCACCTACCTGGTGACCTACTCACCTACCAGGCGAGGCCAGCGTGCCCCTTGCTGCTCCATAAAAGTTGCGGAAGCGGGGGCAGAGTCAAGGCTGGGGAGAGCAGCAGACCGCCCCCAGGGGGTCCAGCCCGCTGCCCTGGCCGTAAGTTACCCCGAATCCAGCTGTGGAAATGCCGGGGGCCTTGCTTTGTTCAGGCGTTACAGTGCCTTCCCGTCTGGGGGCTGCGTTCTCTGGCCCGGCTCCACCGCTGACAGCAAGCAGAGGCCGTAGGAACGCAGCAGCGAGACACGGGCCAGACGAGGAGCCTAGATCAGCGGGACGATGAGAGGGCTGAGAGGAGAGCGGAAGCTGGAGGGCGAGCTGGAGGCAGTTTCAGGCATCAGTCTCCAGAATGAGGGAAAACAAACAAAAAGTGTCAAAAAATGTGAGAGAAAAGCTGTGGGAGAGAGCCCAGGTTCAGAAGGCAAGAGGCTTTTGGTAAAAATGTAAGTGGTAACGGTTAGGATTCTATTTATTTATTTATTTATTTCTTATTTCTTTTCAGCGTAACAGTATTCCTTGTTTTTGCACCACACCCAGTGCTCCGTGCAGTCCGTGCCCTCTCCAATACCCACCACCTGGTTCCCCCAGCCCCCCACCCCCGGCCCTTCAAAACCCTCAGGTTGTTTTTCAGAGTCCATAGTCTCTCATGGTTCACCTCCCCTTCCAATTTCCCCCAACTCCCTTCTCCTAACTCCCCTTGTCCTCCATGCTATTTGTTATGCTCCATAAGGATGTGAAACCATTTGGTGATCATTGACTCCCTCTGCTTGACTTATGTCACGCAGCATCATCTCCTCCAGTCCCGTCCATGTTGCTACAAACGTCGGGGATTCATCTTTTTATTTCTTTTTAAGATTTTATTTGCTCCTTTGAGAGGGAGAGACAGGCACAAGCAGGGGGAACGGCCGGCAAAGGGAGAAGCAGGCTCCCTGCTGAGCAGGAAGCCGGACTCGGGGCTCGATCCCACGACCCGACACCGTGACCTGAGCGGAAGGCAGCGGCTTCCCCGAGGAGGCCCGCAGGCGCGCGCGACGGTCAGCACCCTGGGTCATCCTTTCCCACTTGGCGGCCGGCTGGCCTCGCGTCAGTAATCAATTTTCCCGCCTCGAGTCCAGCCCGCTGGGTTGTTCCAGCACGCGAGGGCCCGGCGTCCAGGGCTTGTACCTGGGAACATTTCAGCTTTTCTTTAAGGACCAGTTCTACGCCTGCCGAGCGCACTTCAACGCGCTCCGCCCTCCAGGCCGCCCCGACGGCCCGCCCCGGGGCCGGAACCGCGCGCAGGAGCTCCGGGTCGGTGTCGGTCGCGCACCCGCCGGCTCTGCTTCCCGCGCCAGGGCCCACGAGAGCCGTCAGCGGGACGGGCCGTCACGACAGAACCGTGACTCTGGTGCGGACCTGCGCCCCCGGCCTGGCTGGTGAGGCCAGGTGAGCGCTTCACCGGGGAGAGAAGACCTGTCCCCCAGCAGAGGCCTGCATGGCAGCCCGTGAGGGAAGCTGCGTCCACCCCGTTTTTGTTTAAAGATTTTATTTATCTACTCAGGTGAGAGAGAGAGCGAGAGAGGGGAGAGGGCCAGAGGGAGAGGCAGACGCCCCGCTGAGCAGGGAGCCCAATGCGGGACTCGATCCCGAGACTCCAGGATCGTGACCTGAGCCCAAGGCAGTCGCTTAACCAACTGAGCCACCCAGGCGCCCATGTCCACCCCATTTTTACAGACAACGAAACAATAGCCCCCCAAAATGATATACTCGCTCCCTGTCCAGCTGTCTGCCCAGGCGGAGGGCTCAGGCCACGCTCAGGCCGAGGGCCATCCATGCTGCGGTACCGGAGCTAACCCTGTGGCCGCAGAACCGCCTCCCCCTGGAAGCCCACCACATGCAGTCGGCCAGCTTCCGCTCGGGGGTGCACTGAGGGACTGTCCTTGCACATTCGGGAACTGACCGTCCCGTGGCTTCAACGGGACAACGGGACACGTCCTTCAGGCACGGTGGACTTAATTTCTCTCTAGTGAGAGAAAATCTGTGTGCTACTCTACAAAGATTGTAGGGTTCTCCGTATTAGTAAGTGAATTTTGTAAAAGTAAGTTACTGCAGACTTAGGATGCAAGAAACACCACCCTGGGCTGAGGAAAGGAGGGGGAATGTGAGGTGGACGTGCAGAGGTGAGTGGTCACGGGGAGGACTGGACATCACTCCCCATGACCAGTCCCCATCCATCCCCTCCTGGGCACTTGGGGCTGGTGGGGGATGAGGACGAAAAGATTTTTTTTAAGCGAAGAAGAAGAATGCATTTTTTAGTCTAATATGCAATTTGATTTGTTGCTAGGCAACGAGCTTTGCGGAGTGGTCACTGTGAGCAAGCCCGCCTCTCCGGAGTGCCTGGTGTCCACTCAGAAGGAGCGGACAAGGCAGGACTGTCTGTCTGCTCCTTCCTTCCTCAGCAGACCCTCCTTTCCAGCACCTGCTTCCTCTGCTCGGTGCCCTCCTTCCCCAGGGACAGGAAATCCGTCTGAAAATCGGTAAGGGCTGAGGTCTAGAGCTCAAGAAACGAAATCTCTCTTCTAGGATCTTCTAGAGAACAGCACCCACAGTTCGACCAAAGTTATATCTACGCATTCCTAACCTGCTTATACTTGAGTTTAAAATCTAGTCTTTCTAGAAGGAAACTGCCTGCTTTCGAAATGTCTGCTCGGGCACCATTCTGCTAGGTCACCCGGCCATTTCTCAATACACACATGGAGGTGAAGAGTCCGTCCTTCCTCCTCGTGCAAATACAGAGACCAGTTCTTGGAAATCAGTCCTCCTTTCTTCATCTACGTTTAAAAGGAGAAGGCTTTACATTACATTTTTATGAATATTCTTGATGTTCAGATTAAAAAGAAAACACATGTGTGAATCATGCTGTTCAGATAAAGCCCCGTCCCCCTATAAAGGACAGTCACCCGAGGGGAGACACAGAAGCTACAGCAGGTGTTCTCTTGAGTAAGGACAATGAGAATGGAACATCTCGCCGTCTTCGTGCTGCTGTGTCTACCCGTCTGCTCGGCATACCGACTGAGTGGAGCCGTGAGCAAGGACTCAGACGCAGATTTTGTGAAGGTACTTGGTGATGGTGGCCACCGCAGCCACGGCCCATCCCAGGGGCGGGAACAAATGTGCCGGCTTCGTCTGGCAACCCAGAGGAGGCTTAGACTGGTGGTCCTTGTGTTGGAATGAGTTAGCCCCGGGAAACCGGCAAGTGCTGGAGATGGGTTGTCGATAGCTTTGAATGGAGAAGGGAAGCAAGGGGCAGGAAGGGCGTCGGACTCCTCCAGCTCATGTAAGAAGACACTAGCAGCTGCTTTGGGGCCAAATGAGGGGAGTAAAGGAAAAATGCATGAAACGTCTCTGGCTTTAGAATTTCTTTGGTTGCAATAGGGAGGACAGACATACTCATTTTGATTTTCAAATAATTGTAGGTAATAATTTTCATATCATTACTTGTCATGTGTAGGCAAAAGAATTTATCCTACATCAGTCTTGAACAAGGTCTATATTAACAGTATAAATTTCGACCCCCTTTCTGCTTTTAAAAACCCCTCCTGTTCTATAGCTGGATGGAACTCCTTTACACGTCTTAGATGGGTTGCTGACAACTTATGAACTAGTTAATAAGGCCAATTTGATATTTTATATTATTATGTTGAGTTTCTGTTGTTTACTACCCCATTAGCAATACCTGGAAAAATACTACAAACTTGCAAAAGAGACGAAACCGTTTGTTAGAAGAAGGGACCATGGTCCCGTCGTTGAGAAAACCCGAGAAATGCAGAAGTTCCTCGGGTTGGAGGTGACGGGGAAGCTGGACGCGGACACTCTGGAGATGATGCGTAAGCCCAGGTGTGGCGTTCCCGACGTCGGTGACTTCACCACCTTCCCTGGCATGCCCAAGTGGAGGAAAACCCACCTTACCTACAGGTAACGGGTCCAAAGAGGTTTTCACACACTACCCAGATTTTACTAATGACTATCACAGGAGAAAAGAACTTCTTCTTCAATTTTTCTCTTAAAGGATTATAAATTATACCTTGGATTTGCCAAGAGATGCTGTTGATTCTGCCATTGAGAAAGCCCTGAGCCTCTGGCAGGAGGTGACCCCACTGACCTTCTCCAGGGCTGATGAAGGAGAGGCTGACATAAAGATCTCCTTTGCAGTTAGAGGTAAAACAAAGAAACAAAAAACCCCACAAAAACCATGAAATGCATCTATTTATCTAGGTGCTGTTGGGGGAGGGTATTCCAAAGAGATCTGAATTACCTATCTTTCCAATAAAAACACTTTCTCTGTTAGATCATGGAGACTTTAGCCCTTTTGATGGACCTGGAAATGTTTTGGGTCATGCCTACCCGCCCGGCCCCGGCATTTATGGACACGTTCACTTTGACGACGATGAACTCTGGGTGGAGAATCAGCCAGGTGGGTCACCTACCTCTCTGGACGGCTTCGGGAGTAACGTATGCCACTATCCGAGAGTACCTGGATCATTCAGAATGAGCAGTAAATGTAACATGCCAATGTCCACGATGTGGAATTCGGTCTGCGTTTCCTTCTTCACTCCCAGCAAGTGCAAACCTGGAGGCACCATTCCATCTTACTTCCACGACTTAGGATCCCAAGGAGGTTTTAGAATGGGCATTTTCACAATGCTTTTGATGATTTTAACTGGAAACGATAAAGGTAGAATGAATTGCATTGAATCACTTCCAACCTAAAATGTGCCCTTGGGTTTCTTCTTGTCTTTCCATTGGACTCTTTCTCTTAAAATATCAGCGAAAATGTCAGAAAATAAAGGAAATTGTTAAGTCCTCTATTTAAGTAAACCTGTAACTACCTCTAGCTTAGGAGCTTTATTTTTTTTCTTCCTAAGTTAATTCTGAAAGCTTTTACTAGGTTTAAACACAATGACTGAAGCTAACTACATTTTAGTTATTTTTTTTCAAGTGGCTCCTGAAGTTTACAAACACACTGTTGAGAAAATTGCTATTTTCAAGATTGTTTGAATTTTTAATGCAAATGCAAAGAGCATCTTTACTGAGAGTAAAAAACTTGTGCTACAAGAAATGTTCTTGTTTTATTCAAACAACTATTCTTTTCTGCATAATTACTTGGAGGTTTGGTTAAATTATTTCTACTATTTCAATAAAAAGGTTTATCATGTAAAGAAAAGCTGAATTCAGCTGTCCTTGGACTGCAGAAAACTGTTATTGGACATATTTCTGTTTTAAACTAAAGATTGTGTCTATCCCTTTTGGCACCTACTCCTGGAAAGGTTTTTAACCATCAAAAATTATTGGATTATTTTGAAAAGGTGGAAGAACAACTCTGGTTAAATCCCCAAAGGAAATGACCAGTTTTTGTTGCATAAGAGTTTGAGGAATAACATAAATCCTCTGTGATTAATTTCAAATGAGGTTACCTCTGGCACATGTTACTAAATTTGAACAATAACCGACTTTGTATTTGTAGAGACAATGAAGATTCACACATGATGACACGGTAGTCTTGGTACCTCCAAAAAAAATACCTTTTGGAAACGGTGTTTATCATTGTCACTATAGGTGAAGTGACCAGCTTTCCCTGACCAAAGAGAGACCTGGGAGGAGGAATATGGTAACTAGCTCTCATTATCTTGACTTCAAGTCAACCTTGAAGAATGATTAAGTAGGGCCTATGCCCATCAACGAGCCCGTCCACAAATAAGGAGATGCCCGGTGTTCTGAGGGTAGCCCGTATGACTGGCATGTGTTCTTACATGTGTGTTTATGGAACAAACAGCTGTGAAGTGTGAACATTTATGGTTCTTCACATAGGAACCAACTTATTCCTGGTCGCTGCTCATGAACTTGGCCACTCCCTGGGTCTCTTTCACTCGGCCGACCCTCGCGCTCTGATGTACCCAGTCTACAGCGCACACACAGACCTGGCCCGCTTCCGCCTTTCTCAAGATGACGTGGATGGCATCCAGTCCCTGTACGGTGAGCGAGGCTGGAAACAATGCCTACTCCTTCCTGATGTTTTTAGGAAAGTGTTCCAATGGTGGTCTTCGGGAGAGCTTGAAAACGCAGCACGACACATTTGCAGTTCCTCTCAAAGCCCCTGAGAGTGTTGGGAAAGCACTCACGTGGACGATAGCGTCACAGTCCCTCTGTTTGCCTCCCCACATCTGTTCCCTTCAGGATCTCCCCCTGTCTCCCCAGGTGGTCCCGTGGTGCCCACGGAATCTGTGACTTCAGGACCAGGGACCCCAGCCGCGTGCGACCCCGCTTTGTCCTTCGATGCGGTCAGCACCCTGAGGGGAGAAATCCTCTTCTTTAAGGACAGGTCAGACCAGAAGATTCCACTTCCCTCTCTCTTCTGACGTTCAATGTTTAGAAAGGAGAACGGAGACTTGACAGAAACGTTTTGAGAAAATATTTCCTCACATTTAACAGATCATTCAGATCTGGCTCTTGTTGCATTTTATCATCTCCTTAGAATAGTGCGGATCATGTTAAGGATGATTCTGGGTCCCTAGAACGTACGCTGGATGAAGGCATGGGGTTTTATGTGTGTGGTTCACTTTTAGGGCCCCTGGGCCTGGAACAGGCCTGGTGCACGTGGTGAGTGAGTTAATTAGTGAATGAGTAATTGCTACACTTAAATCCCATCAGCCCCGTCGTGTTTCAGAAGGCACGGCTGCGTCTTTAGAAGTAGGAATGTGTCTTGACCTTTGCTGACATATGCTACTATTTAAATTAATTTCAGAAAAAGTGTTTCTGGCACAATATTAAAATAGCACCAAAAGACAGAGTGAAAAGAAAAATCCCTCTCCCACGTCTGACCTCTGCAGAGCCTCATTCTTCCCATATGGGCGACCACCTCGACCCACCATTTGTCCCTTTAAAAGATACTCTATTCTTTGGGGCGCCTGGGTGGCTCAGTGGGTTAAGACTCTGCCTTCGGCTCAGGTCATGATCTCAGGGTCCTGGGATCGAGCCCCACATCGGGCTCTCTGCTCAGCGGGGAACCTGTTTCCTACTCTCTCTCTGCCTGCCTCTCTGCCTACTTGTGATCTCTGTCTGTCAAATAAATAAATAAAATCTTTAAAAAAACAAAAAGATACTCTATTCCCATACAAACATAAGTAGGTGTACTTTTTCCCGCTACTTTTTTCAAAAATGTTAATGAGTGCATAATATATCTATCATGGATGGGCTTTTAGAGTGCTGTTGGGGCCGAGTGATAGCTGCCCCAAAATGTGTCACTTGGGCATCTCGAATATTTTAAATGAAAGTCATTCAGGAACCAGCCTGGGCAGGAGGGGCACTGAGACCGACCGCTCTCTCCCTGAAAGCAGGCGGTGAACATTCAGGTGAAAGGGGCCCTCCCTGTGCCAGGAGGTAAAGACACGTCCTCATCACCGGAGATGGGGCATTTAGAGCTGAGAAGGCCGTGTCCACCGCCCTTGTGACCTGTTACTACCGGGCTCTGCCTGCCCAAGTCTGTTTACGATTCCTTAGCAGCCGAAGCTCCCAGAGTCACGTTTCCTTTGTCCCGCCGGTGCCTCACAGCTCCGTGCGCTCTCTGCCTCGAAAGTGTAACAGCTCCCCGCCCGGGTCATGTCTTCAGGTCTTGGTCTCGTAACGGGGCTCCGTGTGCACGTAATAATATCTGAATTTTTTTTCTTCCATTAATTTGTGTCATGTAAATTTACTTCTTCATCCAGCTGGAAGATCTTGAAGGCCAGGAGGAAGTTTTCCCTCCCTTTGAACACTGCTAAAGCGTAACAATTACATGGTCATGGATTTCATTACCCTGGGATCACAGGAAGGAAGATGGTCCCATACCTACTTCTGAGTTGCCATTGTTTGAAAGAGAGAAAATATGTTCCTTTATATACATATCTAAAGGAGAAAAAAAATTGTAATTAGTTTATGTGTGTTCCAGATATTTCTGGCGCAGATCTCATTGGAGCCTTGAACCTGAATTTCATTTGATTTCTACATTTTGGCCCTCTCTACCCTCAGACTTGGATGCTGCATATGAAGTTACAAGCAAAGATACCCTTTTTGTGTTTAAAGGTAAGTGCTGTGCAAGAATTTTAATTTGATGAAATAACTTCCATTACAACAATTTCACCAAGACATGAATTTTCTCCATTAAGTTAAATTTATTCTATTTGGTTTATTACTGTAAGGCCTAATGTTGATGCTTAAATAGGATGTGTACAAAGAACACTATAAGTTCTATTTTAAATATCCAGTGAGAGGGTGTCTGGATGGCTTAGTGGGTTAAGCGTCTGCCTTCGGCTCAGGTCATCATCCTAGGGTCCTGGGATGGAACCCCACATTGGGCTCCCTGCTCAGCAGGAAACCTGCTACTCCCTCTCCCACTCTTCCTGCTCATGTTCACTCTCTCACTGTCTCTCTCTTTGTCAAATAAATAAATAAAATCTTTTAAAAAAATTTTTAAAAAATAAAATATCCAATGAGACCTAAGTAATAGATGCTATCCTATGTTCATGAATAGAAAAATAGTAATAACTAATACAGAAATGTAACAATAATAATGTAATGTAGTATAGTATAATAATACTAATGTAATATAGAAATGATAGACACATCTGGATACACAAGGAATTTTCCATCCAAATGCCAAAATATTTTTTTTTTCAAATGCCAAAATACTTTTCACAGAACTTGACAAATTAGTTCCATAACTGTGTGCGAGAGCAAAGGCCAAGAATAGGCAGGATGAGGGCCCTGGGTAGCTCAGTCAGTTAAGCAGCTGCCTTTGGGTCCTGGGTCCTAGGATCAAGCCCTGCATCAGGCTCCTTGCTCAGCGGGGAGCCTGCTTCTCCCTCTCCCTCTGCCTGCTGCTCTGCCTACTTCTGTTCTCTCTCTCTCTCTGTCAAATAAATAAATAAAATTTTGAAAAAAAAAAGAATAGGCAGGATGCTCCTGGAGAAGAAGAAGATGAGGAGGACTGTCCTGCATCGTAGCGCTTGGGTGGATGAAATAATGCAGTGTCAGCGCAAGGATGGGTGTGGTAGCTAATGGGACAGACAGGGCCTCTCCGCTCCTGTATCAGATTTGTAAACCGCTGTTTCCACTTGCCCCACAGTTAATCTCCTCTTTGAGCTGTTATTACTTCTTGAATCAGTTTTGCTAACATATTTTTCTAAAAATGTATTAACTTGGTCTGTTTTCAAGTCAACTGGTAAGGAACTTTCTGAGTGTTATTTTCTTATTTTCATTATTGCTGAAATTTTGTTCCCTTTGTCCTTCCTAATACTGAATCTTCGTGCTTCTCACTTTACCTGTCTCTGGGACGACAGGATGTGTAATGATTTTATTCATCCTCTCAGAGAACGAACGTTCAGCTTTGCTAATCCTCTCTATTGTGTTTTGACGGTCTATTTAAGTTGTTTCTGTCTGCAGCATTGCTGCCCCGTCTGTGCTGTCTTTGAACTTATTCCGTTGTGTTTTACAGCTTAAGCTTGGTCCTTAACTTGCAGCCCTTTCTTCTTTTCTGGTGTAAACTTATACACCTGCAAATACCCCTTTCTTCTCAACTTTTGCTTCATTCCTACAAGGTTTGATATGTAGTGTTTATAATTTTGTTCATTTTTCAGGGTGGTTTTTTTTTTTCAAATTCCATTTTTAATTTTTTCCCTTGACTCTGAAGTTTTGCGGAAAATGGTTAAACCTCGACCTGTGTGGGGATTTTTCAAAGTTAGGTATTTCTGACAATCTCACTTTTATGAGGAGTCAACGAAACGTTGTGACGCTGTGCCAGGTGTCGCAGCTCTGAAGCGCGGCGCTCGTCCGTTAGTTCACCCGGCGCTTACGTGGTCTTGCAACGAGCCGGGCGCTGTGCTCGTTGGCGGGCGGTGAGCCCGAGCGAGGTTCCTGTTCTAGAGACGGCGGCAGAGATGAAGCTGGGAGTGTGACACACGGGCAGAGCCGGGGTGGAGGGTCCAGCCCCGGCCCCACACCCAGGAGGTGGAGTGGAGGAGGAGGTGCAGTTTAGGATGTTGAAGGGAACTTTGCTGTGTGGTCAGGGGCTGAGCGTGTAGAGGGTAGAAAAGGTCTTCAGGGCAGAAGGCGCCGTCTGCCCCCGGGGGAGACCGCACAGGAGCTGGTCGGACGGGATCGGCCTCACCGCGACGGGCGTTTCAGACGTGTCAGCCGGGCGGGACATGAGGCAGGGGTTTGGGGTTGGCCTGGAGGGGAGGTGTGCGGAGGAGAAGCACAGACGCTGAGGGGTCCCGCTGCCCTAAGTCGCTGAACTCCGGGTGGCTTCCTAAGGTGTCAGAAGAAGCACAGTCCGGACCTATGACCACGAGATCCCAGGGAAAGTGTCCTGTAAGCAACCGACTTAGTGACACAGACACACGAACAGCTCCACGTTAGACACTTAGGTTAAGAAGTCACCAGTGACCAGGACCAGTCACCGTAATTATAAACTGTAATAAACTCTCATATTTATAGATAATAAACATATGACCCAGAAAGGGCAGGGACCAGAGTTAACGGCTCATTGACTCACTCGCTCCCTCGGGGAATATTGGTGAAATACTGGCTATCGCCCGGGCTTTGGGTTAGCGGTTGGAATTAAAACGAAGTCTTCCGGTTTTGCACATGAATGTACTCAAACCTTTTCTAAAACCACAAGTCTTCACTAAAATTTTTTGGCTTTCCTTTTTCAATAGGAAGTCAGTTCTGGGCCGTGAGAGAAACGGAGGTAGTAGCAGGTTATCCGAAAGGCATCCACACCCTGGGTTTTCCTGCAACAGTGGGGAAAATTGATGCGGCCTTTTCTGATAAGGAAAAGAAGAAAACGTACTTCTTCGTAGGGGACAAATACTGGCGGTAAGACTCGGATGGAATGGCTTTGTATGAAGCCTCGTTAGGGAAATTACCCTCTTTCCTGAAGGAACTCCCCCACTCCCACCCTCTACCTTGCTCTAACTTCCAACCTTCTGATTGTGAAGAAGATGACTTACAGTTACTCGGCTTCTCCCATATAATAAAGGGCTCTCAGAATGGCTGGGCACTGGGTCATAGATCCAGACACCAGAAGACATCAGGAGAGGCCACCTGCAGTCGTCCAGACACCAGGCCCCCATGGGAAGTGCTGGTGTGTCAGGCTGTAGAGACAGTGTCTACAGGGCAGGTGAGAGAGCAAACCAGGAGCTTTTCAGCCAAATGACGAACTCACTTCCCATGTCTTGTGCTTGTGGTCCTCATGCATTTCTGGCAGGAAGGCATCAGGGCTCTGGGTCGAGGCTTGGAAACTTGACCTCAGACATATGTAGAGAGAACCCCCATGGCACAGCCTGATACTCTGGTCCCTGGAGAAAATGTTGGTTTCTGTGCTAAGCTTATCGTCGGGGAAAGTGATAAATATTTGTAGTTCTAAAGATGTTTGACACTTGTTTCCCCTGATTTGAGATTGATCTGGGATCCCACACGGGGGCAGTAACACGATGGTGTGCGTGACGTGGAGCTGTGTTTCCTTCACTCGGTACAGACTTGATGAAAACAGCCAGTCCATGGAGCAAGGCTTCCCCAGACTGACAGCGGATGACTTTCCCGGGGTTGTGGAGGTTGACGCCGTGTTTCAGCACTTTGGTAAGGAGGCACTCCTTTCATTGCCAATGGGGACGCTCGGGGACATTTTATGGAATCAAAATCACGTGGAGAATCCGAACGATTTTCAAATCACTCAATCTTATACCCTTTTTATTCTAAACTTCTGAACATTTTAACTTTCTAATTTCTGTAACTGGAGTTTAAATTTTGTTTTTCCTGAATAATTTCCAAGTCTCTGCTTCATACCTGCTCATACTGCCAAAGGGTGCTTTCTCACACCATGTGACTCAGGTCACTACGTTGCTATAAACATGCAACCAGGTGTGAGCTAAGCTTACAGACGGCAGGTGTCCTTTTCCTTTCTCATCCTCTTGCCTGCTCTCTCCCATCCCATCCAGACCTGCCTGGACTTCTGTGGCAGTCACGAATTGCCTACATTAAATAATTCATTTGTTTAAAAAAAAATAGTAGTCTTCCCGTGTCCTTGAGATAGATGAAATTTGATCCCTAGTAACGGGCAGATGAGAAGGTAACAGCTGTGCTCGTTCTAAGAGAATTTACAGGGAGATGCAAGGGTTTGATGACCCTAACACACATGAGGCTCATGATCTTATCACTAAGACACTTGACTTGGTGCGTATGGAGTGGTCAGTGGGCCTCCGGGGCTTTTTACGGTTGGCCTGATTCTCTTGGGTCCAACTGCCCCCCACACTGCACTTTAGGACCTAGTGGGGTAAGCAGGAGTATTTAAAATACCATAGAATTCTATTACTTTGGAGACTGCATAATCTAATGGTTTAAGAGCTCTGGCTTTGAAGTCTGAGGAGACGGAGTTCTTTCTCCATCTTTTCTTAGAGGTGATACCTTAGGGAAACCACAAACTCTCCCTAACTCTCACTTTGTTCTCAATAGTGACCTCTCCCATTTTTCCAGGAAGGAGAGATGCCACGAATCATGTAACCACGTAGCACAGTGGCACACGCGTGCAGCCACTCATCAGTGCCATCCTGCACTAGCTCGCTCTTGTTCTGAGTTATGTGTGGTGCAGAATGGATTCACTCGAAGATCTCTCATTATTTCCCTCGTCTGTATTTCCAGGATTTTTCTACTTCTTCAGAGGACCATTACAGTTTGCGTTTGACCCCAATGCCAGGATGATAACACACACACTGAAGAGTAACAGCTGGTTGTACTGTTAGATGAGAAAAGGAGATCGATTCAAAGGAATATAATAATTATTCGCCTAATTTATTATAAGTCAAAATGATGAGTTTCCCCCTCTGTTTAGTGGCCAAAGAGCATGAGCTCTGTAGACATGTTCATGGTCCTGGAGCATTGATCTGGGCCCCTTTACTTGCTGTCGGATCACGCTGAATGGAAGTGGGAGGCAACGGTGGGCACCAGTCAGAGAGTGTATCTCCGTGGGCGTTTTATTTGGTATTTAATAAAGATTTTTAATTTTGACCCATTCCTTCTTCCTAGAATAATTCGCTTTTAATACAATGACCACAGTGTGGGTTGAGCCCTTCCCTGAAGTTCTGTCAGTGGGTGCGGAAGGAGGACACCTTCCGTGACGCGGCAGGGGCGGTCGTGTGCCCTCCCCCATTCTCTGTCCCTCCACCCACAGGACGTTCTTTCCACCTCTGGATCTTTACGCATTCCTTACACACCTGAGGAAGAAAGAGCTTGGTCAACAGTAGTCCTGTAGGACTGGGTCTGGACAAAGTCGGGAAACAGAGTTCAAGAATGTTTGGGTTTAAGAAGCAAATCGTGCAGTGTGTGTTCTCACTTACATGAAACAAAACTAGTCTGAAATCCAGCCGCCTTTTTTTTTCAAACCCAAATGTTCTCTCAGTGGTGCCTCTTGACTGCCCTGTTTCTCCCATCGTCCTCGCTCGTCAGTAGAATGTTCTCTGCTTCCCGTTTTCTCGGTGGTAGCAGCCGAGTAGTCACAGAATCTGAGCACTTGCCGACCTGGGACAGGCTCGCGGCCACGGAGTAGTGCCTCCCACCCCGCCAAGGGCCCCCGGGGACTTGCTCCCTCTCCTGTCCATTCACTCAGATGACGGACACGGTGTCAAGGACGAGGAGTCGGGCAGTGAGGGAGACTCACGGAGCCCAACCTCTTCGAGTTCTGTCTGGTGGGAGTAAGAAATCGAGCACAACCAACACAAAGCGATAGATAATTATGAGGATGTTATTAAAGAAATGACACAGTGACGGGGAGAGCGGTGCTGGGGCAGGGGGAGCTGCCCGCTGAAGTCCGGCTGCTCAAGAACCCTTCCTGGGACAGTAGCATCAGGGGACAAGAGCATCTTCTTCCGTCAGCCAGTGGGGTGGCTGGGAGGAGGTTCCCTGCTCTGGGAGGAGAAAATGCAGAATAACGTCCAGGTGCAGAGGCAGAAAATCTTGGCGTGTTCCAGGGTCTGAGAAGGTGGTGCCTGATTGTGTGTCAGGGGAGGGTGTGGCGTGAGGAGGTAGGAGGACTCTGCTGTGTCCTGTGTATTAATGAGCCAGGTCTTACTTTAAGGGCATCATGGGTTTGCTGGAGAAGGTTTTTTTTTTAAGATTTTTTTTTTTATTTAATTATTTGGCAGACTGAGATCACAAATAGGCGGGGGGGGGGGCAGGCTCCCTGCTGAGCAGAGAGCCCGATGCGGGGCTCGATCCCAGGACCCTGGGATCATAACCTGAGCCGAAGGCAGAGGCTTAACCCACTGAGCCCCTCAGGCGCCCCGTTGGAGGAGTTTCTGAGCAGAAAAGTGACAGGATCCAGGGCGTAGGTAGAACGAGCTCTCTAGCTAGAGAGAACTGGAGGGAAGTGGTGTTGGGCCTTGGAGGACAGGTCGAAGGATGCTCATAGGTGACAGAGATTGGGACACACCGTACTTGAGATGTCATCTTAGCGTCATTCGGACTCAGCAGCAGGCTGGTCCGGAGGGCAAGGACGGGGTTCGGAATGAGAATGAGTGGGTTTCTGGCCTGAGCACCTGCAGTAGCCGAGGCTCTGGGGTCGTCGAGGGGCACCGGGGAGAGGAGCAGTTTTGGGGGACATGGGTGAGAGTGAGGGAGAACCGGCTCATTTTCCTAATTTAGCGATTCCTGTGAGGTGACCAAGGGAAGGTATTGTTAGCCGTTAGATGGAGGGTCACAGAGCCCAGCACACGGGACATGAAGCTGTGGGAGGCGGGGGACGTCTGTGAAGTCGTGGGAGTAGGTGGGGGTGCACAGAGAGGCTGCAGGGGGGAGAATGCGAGGGACCGGGTCCTCCCACCCAAGTGTCACTCATCCTGGGCTGCGCCACAGGAACTCCCAGCTCCCCGGTCTCTCTGGGTAAGACTGAAAGCCCATCACGGGCCCTGGTGGGATTTCTACTCTAGGCTGTCCCTGTTCAAGACCCAGGGGACGGAATAGCCACCCCAGGAGGACACTGCACAGACGGAAAGGGTTGTTGCTACATTCCTCCCCAGCTCCTAAGACCCCACGGGGCTGGAACAAACATGCTTCCAGGCACACATCATCGGCCGAAGGAGACATGGTCTGCCTCATCTAATGCCAGGACGCAGCAGCGCCGTCCTGTCGGGAGCCCGAGTGGAGTAAGAAATCCTTATCACAACCACCAACGTAACCAAGAGGATTTTCTTATGCAGAAATATGTAATATTTAAATTTATCCTTCAAATATTTTATGTTCTTTCCACAGATTGGTGACCGTGGCCATTGCTGCTATAAACATTGGAGTACAGATGGCCCTTCTTTTCACTACATCTGTATCTTTGGGGTAAATACCCAGTAGTGCAATTGCAGGGTCAGAGGGAAGCTCTATTTTTAATTTCTTGAGGGATTTCCACACTGTTCTCCAAAGAGGCTGCACCAACTTGCATTCCCACCAACAGTGTAAGAGGGTTCCCCTTTCTCCACATCCTCTCCAACACATGTTGTTTCCTGTCTTGCTAATTTTGGCCATTCTAACTGGTGTAAGGTGGTATCTCCATGTGGTTTTAATTTGAATCTCCCTGATGGCTAGTGATGATGAACATTTTTTCATGTGTCTGATAGCCATTTGTATGTCTTCATTGGAGAAGTGTCTGTTCATATCTTCTGCCCATTTTTTGATATGATTATCTGTTTTGTGTGTGTTGAGTTTGAGGAGTTCTTTATAGATCCTGGATATCAACCTTTTGTCTGTACTGTCATTTGCAAATATCTTCTCCCATTCCGTGGGTTGCCTCTTTGTTTTCTTGACTGTTTCCTTTGCTGTGCAGAAGCTTTTGATCTTGATGAAGTCCCAAAAGTTCATCTTCGCTTTTGTTTCCTTTGCCTTTGGAGACATATCTTGAAAGAAGTTGCTGTGGCCAATGTCGAAGAGGTTACTGCCTATGTTCTCCTCCAGGATTCTGATGGATTCCTGTCTCATGTTGAGGTCTTTTATCCATTTCGAGTTTATCTTTGTGTACAGTGTAAAAGAATGGTTGAGTTTCATTCTTCTGCATATAGCTGTCCAGTTTTCCCAGCACCATTTATTGAAGAGACTGTCTTTTTTCCACTGTATATTTTTTCCTGTTTTGTCGAAGATTAATTGACCAAAAAGTTGAGAGTCTATATCTGGGCTCTCTACTCTGTTCCACTGGTCTGTGTCTGTTTTTATGCCAGTACCATGCTGTCTTGGTGATCACGGCCTTGTAGTAAAGCTTGAAATCAGGTAACGTGATGCCCCCAGTTTTATTTTTGTTTTTTATGTGAGATTCTTGAGGTGGAGTCCACACGAACAGCCCGAAGCCCAAAGAGGGAAAACATTACTCACTGAAAAGTGTTTCCCTCCCAACTCTCTGCCATCTTTCCCGGAGGTGAGCACGGCTGCCAACTCCCACGAGTCTGCCCGTCCATGCTATGCACTCATGAGCATGTCCCTGAGCCTCGTTTCACCCCCAAATGTAACCAGTATTTTGATTTTGGAAACAACAGTGTAACAAGCATCACCTTTCATCTGCCGTTTCCGAGGGAGCACTCCCATGGAAATGCTGCAGCGTGGAAGGGGGAGGGTAGAGGGGGCAGGGCTGGAAAATCTGGCCACGCCAGCCCTCCCAGGGCCATCCCGACAGCGGCAGCATGGACGGCCACGCGGCAGAAATCCGGTGGTGGATGTCAGGAGGGCGCGGACTACACGGAACCCTGGGTGTTCCACGCAAACGATGAATCATGGAACACGACATCAAACACAGACGACATGCTGTATGGTGACTACCATGACACAACAAATCAGAATGAAGGAAGGAAGGAAGGAAGGAAGGAAGGAAGGAAGGAAGAAAGAAAGTCTGACCACCGCGTCCAGGGATGATCTGGGTGTGGGTGGGCCAAGTGGCTCGCCGACTAACGGGAAACGTCCGAGGACCGTCCCCAAGGGCTTCCTCTCTGTGGTTCGGCTCCGCACTCAGAATGACGCTGTAGCCTTCAGGCTGGATGTCCGCCAGGGCCTGGAAGCTGCAGCCTTTACCTCTCTTCAGTATGTTGTCTCTGTCCACCAAATAGGGCTCCACTCCCCTCGGGTCGAGCTGCCCTCATTCCTGGGCCGCACGGAGTCAGGCACCATGGGAAGGAGCGAGGACCCCCACGACTGGCTGAGACCCGTGAATGTGGGAGGCGGATAACCCCAACCTCACACCCTGCCATGGTGGGCGGGGCGGGGGGGACAGATGGGACGGAGAGACCACAGTGTTGGCATTTTCCACCTCGACTGATGGGAGGTGAGAAAGGGCAAAGTGTGCACAGTCTTGGGGAGATGTTGGCAAGGAAAACGCTTCCAAAAATGGTTCTCTTACATGTCCGGGCTCCTGAATGCCTTTATTTGGCTGAGGGATAAGGACGATGTGGACTCTCCATCTATCGGCTCTGTACAAGGTGCGTCCCGTGTGCAGGACTCGCCGGAGCTGCAGTGGACAGTGCTGTCTGCCTGCCACAGAAACGGAGGCTCAGAAGGACAGCCTTTCCCAGGGTCAGCAATGGGCACACGGTCAACTAGGACTCAGCTCCAGAACTCTCTGGCTCCCAACATCTTGCTTCCTGACGCAAGATCAATAGACCATTCGCAGGTCAACCCAGTCTCGTTTCACTTTGTCCCCATTAGGCACTAATTAATGTCATTGCTTTCAGAGCCACACAAGTTTGCTGAGCTTGTGCTTCCCCAAGATAGCCGCACGACCTCGCAGCCCTTTCTGATTCTGCGACCTCAGCCTACCCAAACAGTCAGGACCCTTGGCACCGAGACAAAATCGATTCTGCTCACCCTCGGGGCCCGCGGCCAAGTGCTGGGCACATGACACTGTGCGCA